ATGAGCAGGATGCCGAGAGAGGAGGATGAGAAATTCGCAAAATGCATTCTTTTTATGCGTTTTTTGCAGCCATGCAATGCGAAAAACGCATATTGACGAGAAGTTGTCTGTGTGTGTGTGTGTCTGTGTGTCTGTGTCTATGTGTGCGCTGCGCGTCTGTACCGATTTTTCATCTCGAGACCCACAAAAGATACAGGGCTGAAACTTTGGGGACTTAATCTACATGCACGTACGGACCCCTATCCCCAAAATGGGCGGTCTTTCCCACGTGGTACCCACGTAAGAGCCCGCCAAGATTTTTTACGGGTAAGCTGCTAACTCGCGAACCAGAAAAGCTAGACAGCTGAAATTTTATGAGAATGTTTCCCGTCCAACTAGGCACTAATGAGCTCAAACCCAGCCCCCGGGTAAGTGTGATACCCGCGTACGGGCTCGCCAAAATTTTTCCCGCGTAAATTCATAACTCGGGGATCTGAGATGCTAGAAAGCTGAAATTTAAAGAGAATGTTTCCCATCCAAGTTGGTACTAATGAGCTCAAACTCAACCCCGGGTAAGCGTGGTGCCTGCGTACGGGCCCGCCAAAATTTTTTTCGGGTAAGTTCATCACTCGGGATCTGAGAAGCTGGAACGCTGAAATCCTAGGCCAATTTTCCCCGTTCAAGTAGGTATTAACGAGTTCAAACCCTGCCCGCGGGTAAGCGTGATACCTACGTACGGGTCCTTGAAAGTTTCTTCCTGGTAAGTTGCTAATTCGGAAAAGTGAGAAGCTAGAAGGTTGGGATTTTGAAGGGATGTTTCCTGACAGTCCTGGCGGCCAGTCTGAAATTCTTTTAGCTAAAGGTATCTGCCAGAAAAACCGGTGCCGTTAGCGACAAAAATCTGCGGGGAGCCATGCAAAAAACGCATCTTCACACAGGCAGCCCGTGCGTTGGCCAATTATTTTATGCAGGGTATCTAGCTTCCATGTTGAATTTATTTTAATGTAAGTGTAGAATATTCACACAAAATTTCAAGCTTGTCCGATACCCGGAACCGCCATTTTCCTACAAATATCTTTGACGTCCCCTAGGGTATGGCGCAAGTGCAGTTTCGAAACTTCCTTTGGGTATATGGTTTAGACGGACGACAAATATTCCGACAAAATTAAAGCTGCTATTTTTTGACTATTTTCGGGTTGGCACGGCACCGTCTGTGAACTTTAATCGTGCATGTTACGCAAATGTGCGAGATAGCGGAACTTGAACCTTTAGCTCACATATGAATAGAGAATATTCCTGCAGTGTTCCAGCTTCTTACGTCTACGGCTTCCGGAATCGCTTCCCACCGAAAAAATTACATATTTTTTAAGGCACCCGTACGCAGGGCGTGCTTGGACGTTGATTTTAAAACGGAAAGGCGGCAAATCAGGTGGAGACATGTTCTTGCAGTTTCAGTTTCCCAT